TTCCTGTCTACTCATTTGATTTCAGGTGGTTTGGAATTGATAGGGTACAGTTCTCTACAAAGGTCTCATCCCCTAATAATTGAGTTGCTAGGTTGGAAACCCTACCCAGGGCCTTTCCCTGCCTTAGCACACTTATACATCTGTGTGTGTGTGTGGGGGAGGGTGTATGTGCCAACACACAACTAAGATGGCTCGTGCTTACCACATATCTTGATCCATATAAAAGCAGACTCAGATTTATTCTTTTAAAAGCATTTCCATCTACAGTAATGCCATATGCCCAGAGCAGAAAATACCAACAGTTTTATGAATGTAAAATAAAATACCAAATTTCCTGGTGGCAGGGAGATGTTCAATTTGTAAAAATGCTTGGCGTGCAGGTGTAAGGACCTGAGTTTAGATCCCCAGCACCTAATCAAGATGGTGGGACTGTATGTGTAATTCCATCTGGAGGGATGGCAACAGGGTCCCTTGGGCTTGAGGGTCAGCTAGTCTGACTGAACTGGTGAGATTCTGTTTCAATGTGAGACCCTGTCTCAAAAAGCAGGTAGAAGGTGATAGAGACACTGTCCACAAACACCTACAAAGAGAAGGTCCCCATGGGACACACAGTTCTTCCTAAGGACTGATCTTCATGTACTTTATTCTTTTGTGTTTTTTTTTTCCCCTGGGAGGGGTGCAGTTTTGTTTTTGTTTTTGTTTTTGTTATGAGACAGGGTCTCTTTATGTAGCAATGGCTGACCTGAAACTCATAGAGATACCCCTGCCTCTGCCTCCAAAGGGCTGGCACTAGAGACATGTGCCATCACACCTAGCACATGTATTTTATTGTTTAGCTATAAATTTTAGCTATCCAGATGATAGAGTATGAAGATTGTTAGATTTTAAAAAAAACCACATGATTTTGAAAACTGGAAATAACAATTGATTGTCCCTCAATTGAATCTCAAGAAGTAACATGGCAGGAGTCTGAGAGCACTGAGAAACATGTTTGTTTGTTTAGCTGTGATATGATTCTAAAATATATTATTGCCAGTGAACAAATGTCTTTTGCTTTTTTAATTAAAAATGAGCATCGAATCTACACACACACACACACACACATGTATACACACACACAGACACAGACACACACTACAAAAGAACAACTTCTCGGTTAAAAGATACAAATCAGAAATTAAGCTCAAGTTTTTGAGGAAAAGAATCAGATTTGATCTACTGGTTATAGACGTACTTTCATTCCCAATCTTGAAAAGGAGATGGAGAAGAAACAAAGCTAGAGGCAGGAGGATCTCTCTGAGTTCCAGGCCAGCTATGGGGTAGGGGTAGGGGTAGGGGTAGGGGTAGGGGTAGGGGGAGGGGTAGGGGTAGGGGTAGGGGTCGGGGTAGGGGGAGAGAGAGAGAGAGAGAGAGAGAGAGAGAGAGAGAGAGAGAGAGGGAGAGAGGGAGGAAGGATGAGGGAGAGAGAGAGAACAGAAAGAACACAAAGGAAAGGAAGAGGGGCAGAGGAGGAAGAACCTTTCCCCCCACACCTTTTAGAAGTACAGGAAGAGGAAAAGGAAGCTCAGGAGACCCTGGGGTGCTGCTGAATTGTGAAGGAAAGGACTCAGGTCCTTTCCTGCCTCTCACCTGGACCATGAGCTCTGTAAAACCTTTAGCTAAAGAAAAGGCTGTGTGGCCACGCTTTCTGAAACCCGCAGTACTGAATTACTCCTTAATCGCAAAGCCAGGCCAGCTTTTAAGAAAACCCAACGTTTTCTTAAAAAACCAAGACCAATAGAGCCCTGGGTAAAGATATATCTGTCTTTTGCAAAGACCATTTATTTATTTATTTATTTATTTATTTATTTATTTATTTAAGGAGTCCCATCATAGTTCTCTGAACAATGTAATAGTAATTCCTGCCCCTCCTTTAGATTTCCCTAAAATTTGTCAGGAATTTCTGTAGCTTACATGGATACCTCCTGTAGCATGCTTTGTTTTCTTGTGCTCTGTCTAAATTGTGACACCCAAGAGCTTCATGGCTGCTAAATCCTTGCTGCTTGGACATTTCCCCACTCAGTTTGTTTTGAGTTACTTCCTAACCAATTTTACTGTGAAGTATTTGGCACTGGCTGGGGGAGGGGAGGAAATAAGGCATTACTATCCAGGGACATGTGTGCCACTTTAAGTCTGGGAATCACTTAAAATTCTACCCAGACATGGCTTCTCCTTCACAGGAATAGTGTGATATAAGGGTGTCTTGTTTTAAGACCAGCCATTGTCACAAATGTACGTCTCTGCCATATAACACAAACACACACACACACACACAAACAAACACATACACACACAAGTACATACATACACATACACAAGTACACACATAAACACACACATATACACATAAGTTCAGATACACAGACATATACACACATATACACAAACACACATAAACACAATAAACACAGACACACACAGAACAACCAAGGGTTATACTGTACAACGCACAAAAGTGTTTTCTTTCCATCAGATAGTCACAGAGCATAGTCCACCAAGGCACTAGTCTAGAGTTGGATGAAGAAATACATTTTTGTGGTCCCTTATTCCCCCACTGTGTCCGCAGGTACATACCCAGTCGACACCCAAATCATAAGTAGTTTCTCTATGGTTAGGAAAGAAAGCTGGCATCCAAGTAAGTAATAAAAGGTAGGGAGTGGGCGGGCAGATTGAAGAAAGGGTTTGCATGGGGTGAGCCAGCAAGGATGTTCAGCCACATTAAATACAGGGGGTTGTCCGCTTCTGTTCTGTTTACCTGTACTGCTGTCTCTACAAACCAATGCCTTCCTGGTCTCCTCAGGGCTCAGGGCTCCTTGTTTGCTCCTCTTTGACCCTTCCAAGATACAGGCATAGCACTGGGGCTGCCAAGCAACAAGTGTCTGTTTGATAGGCAGGAGCACTAACTGCCTCAGAGGGGGCTTCCCCATTATTGACACATTAAAAAGCAAGAACAGTTTGCTCACAGACAGAACTCTTTCTACCATAACTATTGCTATAATTATAAGAGGTGGTTTTATGCAACAAAACTATATGGGTATCCATATGGATATGCATGTATAAATGTATACAGGATTAGTGTGATACGAGACTGTCCTATAACACATGCAAACACATACATATGCACACATGTACACAAACACACGCAGACACAAAAACACATACATCCATACACACCACACACATACACACACACACACACACACACACACACACACACGGAAGACAGTAGAATTTCCCCGTCTAACTTTACCAGCTTGGTCTACTGTTCCCATGACTGCTTCATAGCCCTGTGTGGCTTTTCAGATGGTCTCATAGAACCCTTTAGATCACTTTTATTTTTTTATTTTAATAATTATAGAGTGTTCAAGTGTTCAGAACTAGAAAGTGTATAGCATTGAAGGGGTGTTGGTAAGCAGAAGAGTTTTTTTATTTTCCTCTCTGAAACAAGTTCCCACCTCTTTAGCCCAAACTGGTTTTGAACTCATAATCCTCTTACCTCAGTTACCCAAGTCCTATGATTACACGCATGCTCTGACACATCTGGTCTGAGAAAAATCTTCCTGTTGGTGAAATGCAAAAGGAAAACCTTGTTTCTTCCATGACTACAAAGCATTGGGAACCCTCTTCTCAGAGTAAAACAAAGCAATTGAGATTTAAAAAAAAAAAAAAAACTTCCAATAAAAACCCAAATCCAAGTTTCTAAAGATGCATAAAGAGTTTAATACCGTAGAGGATGCAGAAAGTGTGAGAAAATTCAAACATTGCATGGTTTTATTTTTGTTGGCTGAGATTTGATTTTTGTTTTTATGCACTATAAAATTGGTGAGGGCAAAAACCTTCTTTGCCAATTTATTTCAGATTCCTTTTTTTTTTTTTGAAATCTTTTCTAAACAAAGATGCCATCCTGTGACGGTTCTAAGGTTTTGCCATACTGAGTTTCTTGCTCTGGGCACATGGCTCTACTCATCTACATAGAAGGCGCTGGAAAATATTTTTGTGAGCTGAGTGCAGCCTAGCGCCTAGGAATCCAGAGGAAGTGGAGGCCTCCCGCTCCGCACAGGAAACAATCTTCCAGCACGCCTTAAATGCCAGATTCCAGGCTCGTTTAACTAACCACTGACAGCTCTGTAAACAAAGTAGGGACAGGAGCCTCCATCCCCTTTCCTGGGAATCATTTTGGGTTTCGGGGCCGAAGGGAGCTTCTGGAATATTTGACTGCATGGCACAGATACACAGCAGAAGCAGGCTCAGCATCTGAAGAGCTGGAAATTCTTCCAGAATCAAAGTCATCTCAGAGGAGGTAGGAAAGGGTCGAACGGTTGGATTACATCTGGAGAGAGCTGGGATTTTTGAGCTCAATTCAGACAGCTTGATCAGAATTTAGCTGCCTTCTAAATTACTGCTTCCTGGAGATTTTTTTTTCTCCCATGATTTCTGCATACTTAAAAATAAAAATTTAAAAACCCAGTGCTAACTAACTTCCAGAATATGCAAACAATGCCTGCGTGCAATATTGTCTGGTTTCTCCTTTCTGTGTCTGCCCCTACACACACACACACACACACACATACACACGTACACACACACGTTTCTTGTTCATTTTCCTCTCCATCTTTATTTCCCCATCTTCATTGTTCTTTGATCATTTGGGTGTAAGTGTTGTCTGGAGTTCAGCGAGTGACAAAGGGCTGGATCGTCCGGTCGGTCGTTCAGAAGCCACGCTATCAATATTTCTGTCTCTTGAGATTCCTCCTTACTTTTTAAATGTAATCTGTGCTCTTAGTTTAATAGCTTTAAGAATAAAGGTGCACACTGTTTGGGGCCAGACATTGACCACTGGTTTCCTTAGCAGTATTCTAAGGTATTTTTTTAAAAAAATAAAGACGATGGGGGTGAAATGGGAGGGGCTAACAGGGGGCACCTGACTCCTTGGTGATCCTGACTCCGCCTCTTTCCTTTAGATCGAGACATTATCTGGGCTCCCTAAACCGGAAACCTCACTATGGATGATTTCGAACGTCGCAGAGAACTCAGGAGGCAAAAGAGAGAGGAGATGCGGCTGGAGGCAGAGAGGTAAGGATTCAGGTTGACAGACGTGCACATTATCAGCAACCTTGTTTTCAGATCACAATGACTCTGCCCTCTGAAGAGCCAAATTCGGCCATATTACGTAACAAGCTCTATTTGTAAAAATAGTTATGGATAGTTAGTCTCATGCTCTGCTATTCTACTGACTTATATGAAGAATCCAAAGGAAAGTGAGAAGTCTGGATGAACGTGGCTATTGGTGGGGTGTCTACACATGTACTCATTGCGCCATGGACTAAGGATCACACCATGATTCTGCCACTTAGGAGCCACGTGTCTCTGAGCAAGTGACCTCTCTCTAGGTCACAGATGTATTATATAAAATTGGCATAATATCTTCAGAGCTTTTGTGGTTGTCACGAAGATGATTAAGCTTTATAAATGGCCTTAACCTGTAAAGCTGACACACTGAATGCATAGCTAATAGCTGTTTTTGTTGTTATTAATTATTATTAATGCCAACCCTGTCTAAGTAATAAGCAACAGCCAGATATCTGGGACTATCTATGAATGCCAAGAGAAGGAAAGACTATCATCACCCTGAGATTAAACTACTCACAGAATAGTTTTGTGGGGAGTTGTGGTAAGCTATGGAAGAAGTAGTTGTGGAGATAAGTAAAACGGAAGTTGTCTAAAATACAAGAGGGATAGAATAAAAGGAAGGAGGGAGGACAGAGGGGAATGCATCCAACATAGAAGATGCATCTATCCAAATTTAAAATAATAGATAATAAATAAAAACTTAAAGCACACAAAACTAAGGAAATGGCAAAAGGCCTGGTGGTTGCCAGGAGCTGGAGAGGAGGGAGGGAGGGAGGAGCACACACAGGCAGAGCATGGGATGTTAGAGCCTCAAAAGCACCCATGAGATAGTATGATAGCAGATACATGCCATCATGCTGGAACTCAATGCAAATTATGGAATCAGAGTGAAATGACCTGTGAATGTACCTCCATCGTCCACAGTAACAAGTGCACCACTGTGTGAGGGATGCGGGTAATAGCAGAGGCTGTGGCTGGGGAGGGAACAAGGGGAGCATGGGAACGTTGCCATTTCCACTCAGCTTTTCTGTGAACCTAAGATTACCATGAGGAATACAGTTTATCAATAGAAATGATGGGGTGGAATAGGAGAGGCTGACGAGGTGAGAGAATGAGACGAGTAAAGCCCAGAGGAGAAAGAATCTATTGCAGGGAACTTGAGAGGAAGGGCATCTTAGGACCCTCACTAGGGAGCTACATGGGATGAGAATATAGTGGTAAAGGCTAGGTACGGTGGACTGAGGTATAGAGGCACTGATAGATGTGATGTCAAGCATACGGTCATGAGAGCCTGAATCAGAGCAGTCGCTGGGAGGAAAGAGATCCCATGTAGAAATTAGCAAGCCTGTCAGCAGCAGGGAAAATTCAAAGTCTGAAGACTGTAAGCTCTAGCTTTGAATGACTACAGTAAATTAACCTAAAATAGAGCAGTCCCAAGGCTCAGAGCTACAGGTTCATTCGTCCGTTCTCTACACACTTTTCATCAGCCATCGCCAAGAAAAGTCTCTGCCTCATCTCCACTGGGGAAAGATGAGAAGACTCTATACTTGGTGGTCATGGTCCTAGTGTTGAATTTCGGGTAGAAACTACATCAACATGGGGCTTCCCCCTAGATGTTAGAAGAGTGGACATTTGGATTTTTATTTAGAAAGAGGAGAAAAAAAATCTTATAAGAAACATCCATTGGGACAAACCAACCATCGTGGCAATAAAAGCTGAAGTCATATCTCCCATAAAGCCAATATGAAAGAGGAAGAGGTCACAAAGATATAATGGAAACTTATCACAGGGAGCAAAACATCAGAGAAATGAAGACCCAGGGAAGGATCAGACCTGAAATCAAGAGGACATTAAAGACATGTGGACACCATCCAGACAGGAGGAACACACCTCTTTCTTAATCTGCCTAATGCAGTGCTACTGGCCTTGGGTTCTCCTGGATTCTTGAGCAGAACTGACCAAGATGAAGTGTCTGAACAGAGATGGGAGAAAAGAAGGTGATCAGCAAATAGACACTTCTGTATCTCAGAGGATCGTAGGAAACAAGAGTACAGGAAACAGAGGGGCAGAGGAGCAGCCTGAAGAACGCTGGGGCTAGAGGGATGGTAGAGAAGAGAGTAAGCACCACGTTAGACAGAGTTCTACACCAACAGGCACTGAGAGAAGCATCGCACTGTGGTTTAAGCCAGACAGTAAGATAGAGTGAATAAGCCTTATTTTCTCATAGCCAGAACTCTACCTAAGAACTGACCACACAGCTGCTCCATTCCTGCTTTCCAGGGTGTTGGTAACGGGTGAACAAGGATTTATCTTCTGTTAATGTCGGCTGTAAAAAGCCTGTGCACCAAAGCTTCATTGGGTTCCCTTAATAACCTAAAACAAATACATACAAATTTATCCAAATATGGTTTAACCAACATTTCTGTCTACATGTCTGCTTGGACTTAACAATGGCCCTATGTTTGTACTGGTTTTACCTGTTTGTGTTTCAAGGGGTACTGTATATATAGGTCTGCTGTGCTGGAATTAGGTCAAATCCGTCAGCATTTGGTAAAATGATCACTTATAGCAGTAGTGAAAGTTAGACTGTACAGTCCAGCTAGCTTCCATGGCAAGTTCAGGGTGTGTCCAGGAAACAGATGGCCAAACCAGGAATCAAGGGCTATCTAAAATCATAGTTCAGATCTGAGGACAAAGGGCATGTAAGACCTTAGGCAAGTCCCTTCCTCTTCCTCTAACTCCAGACCCTGGCTTCCTTTGTCACAGGAATGAGTGTTTTCTCAGGGGACTTAGAGGTCATTTCCTCTTGGCTTTGGAATTGTCTACTTCTGTTGGCAATAGGTCAGATATTGCTTGATTTAAAGTCAAGTAAGTAATATGGAATCTTACATTTAAAAAAAAAAGATAGTTCTAAAGTCCTATAAAATATACCTAGGGCCAGGCAGGGGAAGACTTAACTGTCACCTGGATATGGAGCACAAAAAGAAGTCATGCCAGCTTTGGAATGGCAGTAGAGAAAAATAGACGGAGTTGTCCCAAGAGGCAAGGCTACAGACGCATTCATCTGTTCTCAGCACATGTTATCAGGAATCTCTTTTGCTCTATTCTCTGTTTGGGACAGAGGACTGGGTATTTTCCTCGGGGTTGGAATACTTACACACATACCCGGGCTTTAGGTTCAATCTCTAGCACCTTTGCAGACTTGCACATTTGCAGAGTCACTTTTTCCTTCTTTTGAGTACAGAGATGTTCTAGACCTTTGAAACGTATCTGGTAAATGCAGACTAATAACAGCACAGCAGTAAACATAGCTGAAAGGCATAAGCAGATATAAATGTGTATATATGTGTGTGTGTGTATATATATATATATATGTGTATACACATATATACAAATATATATTATTACAAATATATTATATATTATTACAAATATAAATATGTATATATATTTGTAGATATGTATGTTCTATAACAGCAGCACTCAATCTGTGGGTTGTAACCCCTTTGGGGATTGAAAAATCCTTTCACAGGGGTTGCATATCATAAATTCTGCATAGCTGATATTTACATTATGATTCATAACAGTAGCAAAATTACAATTATGAAGTAACAATGAAATATTTCTATGGTTGGGGTCACCACAACATGAGGAACTGTTTTAAAAGGTCACACAGCATTAGGAAGGTTGAGAACCAATGTTCTATATAAATGAAGGAACACTAAGCAGTATCATGATCAAAGATGGCAAGTTTACCAGTTATGGTCGTGGGCTTTGGTGGTAGAACCTGTGGTCTACTGTGGTACCTAGGCCTTTCCCTTAATGGCTTTAGCATTGTTAAGATGGTCAATCTTTCAAATTTTCTGCTTGCCCCTGTATAATATGAGGGCAATGAAAATATCCACTTCATAGATTCTTATAGGATGAGACGAGATAAGGAAGCTTTAACAGAGTACTTAGCATTTTGCATCAGTAGACATGACTGTTAATGATTATTAGCTTATTTGATTCTCTGCAGCACACAACCTAAAACATTATAATTGCCTTTTATGTATCTCAGAGATTGCAAGCACTCTGAACTAGGAAGCCAGAATTTGCTATTTTGTGAAGAACTTGAGTGGGTTTGATGGACGTCAAGGTTCTATCAGACAGAAGAGGCAACATGAGTTCACACTGAGCTGTTCTTTCACATTTTGCGGACACGATTCTGAGCTCCCGTGTCTCTCTTGAGAAACAACCCTCAGTGGTGCTTCTATCTGTGAGCAGATCTTTGGTGGCCACACTCTGTGTCAGACATCCCCTGCACCAAGCCAAGAGCCAGGGCTCTCATTTTTCAAGTTATGAACTCACTACATTCCCGGCATACGCTTTCCACACCCAGCGGCAGCTCCTCTTTCCATTAGAAGAAAGGCCTCTATTGTAGAATTGTTATCAGATTCCAAAGCTCAGAGACATAAATAAAGGGAAAGAAAACATGCTAGCTGTTTTCATCATTCATGCATTTTTATGGGCTTCTGAAATATCCCAATGATTAGACATTTGAAAGTAAATATTTTTACTGCTCTAGAAAAACAAGCAAGTTTTAAAAATCCATTTGATCCACAAAAATCCCTTTCTAGAGCTGTGTCATTGATGCTTTTCCCCCAATACCAAGGCCCATCGACAGTTAAACTACAGACAGTACACATGAAAACACTTAATTCAGAATGCTTAGATCATGACCTTGAGTCTCAAGTACAAGTCTTTAAAAATACATTTTAAGATGTCTGAGCAGAACATTATTTTCCATTAGGAAGTTAAATGAAACATTCTTTTGAAACTGTATAAATCATTAAGGTACTTATGTTTGCCCAAAAAAAGTTCTCTTAGAAGATTGATTACTCCAGAAAGAAGAAAAAGAGCAGAAAAGGGGCGGGGGGAGGGAGGAAGGCCTAGCCTTTGGT